AATAAATGTGTGAGTCGGGCAGTAAGATGAGCGAGGTGAGCTTGGCTGTGAACTGGAGAGTTCATCCCTGGTGAAAGACATTCAAATTAAAAAATTTTAAAACAGCGTGTCACCCAGACAACACATCTCATGGTCAATTCCACAGGCTGCCATGCCTAAAAACTCCTTGCCAGCTTATCAGGCACACTTTTTTCTTCCAATGTTTTGGGCAATCCTTTACAATTCTTTTTATGAAGGTGAGAAAATATCCCTCAAGTTTAGGTTCTAATATGATTTTGATGATTTCTCGGTGTGATTCACATCTAGTCTAAGTGAAAGATGGCTCGTTCCTCAAAGGCAAATTTCTGTGTTTTTGTATTTCCTCCAGCATTCATCACACTCCTGCACTCTTGGCAGGTGCCCTGTAGCCATCTATTAGCTGATAGGTTAGAGAGAAGTATAAAGAAAGGAGAGACTGCCTCAGTCATTTGGAAGTGTGCAAACCATGTCATTGCTGGGTGAGAGAACCGGACCTGCTTAAGGATTCTTCTCACGTTGCCCAGCACCTGCTCCAGCCTCTGTGGAATCATCCCATGGACACTAGGGGATGCTCTTGCCCAATTTTCCTGGGTAAAGCCTGGAATCCTTTGTCTAGTAGTTTAAAAAAATTCCTCTTATTTTCCTTTAAAATGTCTTATTGTTTTTAATTATTCTTATAGGTCTAGTTTTTCTGGATCAAATGACTTTTACGACTTGCACTCTTAAATTTTATAAATTAAAAAAAATATTTAAAGTTCATAGTTAATGTTCCTGTGACCAGTATTTCCCTTAAGTGTGGTATTCAAGAGTTCTTTTAGGCATGTCCAGAAGTTCAGCAATTAGGCTGGCTGGTTAGCTCAGTTGGTTAGAGCGTGGTGTTATAATACCAGGGGTCAAGGGTTTGGAGCCCTCAAAAACAAAACAAAAAACAAAGTCCAGTAATGAAAACTTAAAAACAAATAATCTTTTAATATGTGTATAATTTTAATTTTAACATTTACTTGTACATATTTGTGGGGTGCAGTGTGTTGTTTCAATACCTGTATATACTGCGCAATGGTTATTCTATTCTTTACTTCTGTGAGAACCACTTTTTTTTTTTTAAAGATTCCACATATGCGTGAGATTATGCAGTGTTTGTCTTTCTGTGCCCAGCTTACTTCACTTAACTTGATGGTTTCCAGTTCCATCCGTATTGCTGCAAATAATAGGATTTCATTTTTTTAATGCTGAATAGTTTTCCATTGTGTATATATACCACTTTTTTTTTATCCATTCACCCACTGATGGGCATTTAGGTTTACTACATCTCTTGGCTATTGTGAATAGTGCTGCAATGAATATGGGAGTGTAGGTGTCTCTTTGATATATTGATTTCAATTAATATTTTTTTATGGTAGGTTAAATAGGCCAAGATGACTACTTTAACAATAGCTGTAGCAATAGTGACATGAAAAATCAAAGTAATAATAAGACAAATCTCTGCAAGGATGTTTTTCTTGGCATATGTATGTGGGTTTATGTGCCTGTGTTCATAGCAACCAACAGGAAATGAGGGGTCAGTGATATGGCCACAAGGGCATGTCCCTCTGAAGATGTTTAGAATCAGATATAAACTACCAAAATTGGCTAAGTTCTTACCTGAAATTTTGCTCCATTAATAATGGCTTTGTCAATAATCTGAATGAAAACAAGCAACAAGCAACTAACCACCCCAGATGTTATTTGTAGAAAAGTATGACAAATAGAATTATTGAACCAAACATTAAGAATAAAGATATCTCCAAATGCTCGATTTTATCATTAATTCAAAGCTAGACATCTTCTCTCTCTCAAGTTGAACAGGGCAAACTTAGGGCAGAGAACCAAGCTTGATATCATCTCAGCTCTTTACGTCATTCTTCCTGGCTCCTACCTGAGGCCCACAGTGATGTCCCAGCTCAAGTGACCCCAGCCACACAGGCAGCATGGGAGTCAGAGTCAGGTCCCTTGTGAGCACCGTTATGCCATTGCGAGCAAAAAGTAGAGCCTCACCTGATGGTAACCATTGTAGTCCATGTTGCCTGGGATGGGGAACCCTGGAGCCAGAAACAGCTCTCCTTCTAACATTTCTGGTTTAATGAATTCCTCCAGATAGGCTTTGCAGAGTCTCCTGTCCCAGTCATCTGTGATATGACCTCCGTACATGATCTCGCCAAACAGGTAGCGCAAATCATCATAGGGGACCTGAGAGATGGGGAAGAAAGAAAGAAAGACCTCCACCCTGGGGCTGGGGCTGGCCTGACTGTGTGGGCAGAGCATAAGCCACAAGATGGGATGCTTCTTGGGTTAAGGGGAAATGCCTTATTTATCTTTGCACCCCTAGCCTCCAGCAGAGTGAGACATGTTTTGGGATCTCGCTAAATGCTTGAAGAATCTCATCAAAGGGCAAGGAGGGGCAAGGTGCCAACCCCCCACAAAGATAGATGCCTTCCCTCTTTCATGATCATTCACTGTGACAACGAAGTCAGGTCCTACCTAGAAGTCCTTTCAATAAGCGAATGTCAGATGAAGAGAAGTGAAAGTTCAGAGTGAATGAAATACAACACACCAGTTCACTGGTGTGAAAGTTAGGGAGAAAACCACTTGGGGAAAGCCAGCAAATAAAGGCATGGTGTTGTGAGGGGTAGGCTTCCCAGGACCCAGGGGCTGCAGGCAGAAGGACATCTGGGCCTGATTCATTTTCCCCACCAGGAAGATGCCCTGCTGATGCTGTGTTTGGTCCGTGAACTAGAAGAGACTTAGTGGTGTGAATATTCCGTGAATTGGAAGAGCATCAATTGTTGGTGTAAGTTTTCTTTGAAATGGAGATATCAGACAGAGAGGAAGGAGACAGGGTGTACCAAGAACTTGGCTGCTTCTTCAACTTCAACTTTGGAAAGATCATACCTATGTGAGGAGCTGTGTGCCTCAAAAGAGGTTCTGCATTGCTGGCTAATTAAATTGGGAAGTTGCATTGGGTGAGTGTGGGGTCTCTTCCACCAGTGCACAGCCCGCTTGCCATGCTGTGAGTACATGGGGGTGGCCTGATGGGCCCTGGCACAAACTCTCATGGGAATGATGCGCACAGGGGTGACCCTAGTTTGCTTCCCTGAGCTTCCTTGGTTCTGATCTCATCATGGTACTGTTCTCAGCCTCAGGCTGGAGTCAGAGTTGGCACTTCCTTATCCCACACGTGTAAGGTTTAGACCCTCCCTGGTTTTCACTCCCCTCTTCCGTGTGCACGCCATCCACCTTGTGAGAGGTGGCTGTCCTGACATACACCCGCAGTGGCTGGTCCCTGAATGTGTTTCCTTTACCTTTGTGTTAGCCTCCAGGAAGTTGTAGAGCACGTTCACGGAGATGGTGAGGTCCCCAGTGTTAAAGGGGTACGACCGATTCCATCCCTGGGGCCCAAACTTCCGTCTTTCTGCCACCACCGCGTGAAAATAACAAAGAGCAAAGAGGATGCTCTTGAACTCCGTCTCCCGGGAACACATCTCCAGAGTGTCCTGAAAGGAAAGCATCACTTCTGATGTTGACACAGAGCTTCCCTCCCACAGGGCACACTAAGGTGGGGTTACAATTGGGGTTCACATTGGATAAAGTTATCGCACGTCCTGGTTGCAGTTTGAGCCACAGAGAGACTATAGCTGTGCATGGGCTCAGGGCTTGAGGGGAACTTGCAGAGGGGGTAGGTTTTAGTTTAGAATTTGAGATTCAGGTTATAATGGGGTTTGGTTTATGGTTAAAGTTTGTGCATGTGGACATGCTAATTAGGTCTCTTAGCATAGCTAATGGAAAACAGGGTACTGGGCCACAGGAAGGCTGTGTTTGTTATATTAATGTCACTGTGCATGGGAGTGTGGGTGGTGACTCCCACAGATCATCTCTAATATCTTTTCTTCCTGCCGTGCTTTTCTTGCCTGTCATGGAACCTTAGCAGGTGTAATTACTGCCTACGTGACTAAGTAATCCTAGGCTCCTCTGCTGGGCGAGCTGCCGAAATGAGGGGGAGGGTAGGAGCCAGAGCCACAGAAACGGGGGAGCACTGTGCCCTTCACCATCCCCACTGCTCCACCTGAGCTGATCAGGGGTGACAGGCATGAGGCCGAGAAACAAGAGTGCCAGCAGTCCTGGCTGCAGAGCAGGAGGCAGGAGAAGATGGGGCTCAGGAAGACGGGAAGAGAGGAGACACATGGAAGAGAAGAGAAGCCAGAGATGGCGATGGAGCTGTGCTTGGTGAATTTTAAGGGGGATGGCAGTAATGGTGGAGAGAGGGAAAGCCTGCATTTTGAATCGACGGTAGGAAGGAACCCCTGGATTCTTTGGCGTTAAAAGTAATCTCCTCTGAGTGGAATTCTCTCTGTTCAGGAAGGAGCAAGATGTTGCAGGNTTTTTTTTTTTAAAGATTCCACATATGCGTGAGATTATGCAGTGTTTGTCTTTCTGTGCCCAGCTTACTTCACTTAACTTGATGGTTTCCAGTTCCATCCGTATTGCTGCAAATAATAGGATTTCATTTTTTTAATGCTGAATAGTTTTCCATTGTGTATATATACCACTTTTTTTTTATCCATTCACCCACTGATGGGCATTTAGGTTTACTACATCTCTTGGCTATTGTGAATAGTGCTGCAATGAATATGGGAGTGTAGGTGTCTCTTTGATATATTGATTTCAATTAATATTTTTTTTATGGTAGGTTAAATAGGCCAAGATGACTACTTTAACAATAGCTGTAGCAATAGTGACATGAAAAATCAAAGTAATAATAAGACAAATCTCTGCAAGGATGTTTTTCTTGGCATATGTATGTGGGTTTATGTGCCTGTGTTCATAGCAACCAACAGGAAATGAGGGGTCAGTGATATGGCCACAAGGGCATGTCCCTCTGAAGATGTTTAGAATCAGATATAAACTACCAAAATTGGCTAAGTTCTTACCTGAAATTTTGCTCCATTAATAATGGCTTTGTCAATAATCTGAATGAAAACAAGCAACAAGCAACTAACCACCCCAGATGTTATTTGTAGAAAAGTATGACAAATAGAATTATTGAACCAAACATTAAGAATAAAGATATCTCCAAATGCTCGATTTTATCATTAATTCAAAGCTAGACATCTTCTCTCTCTCAAGTTGAACAGGGCAAACTTAGGGCAGAGAACCAAGCTTGATATCATCTCAGCTCTTTACGTCATTCTTCCTGGCTCCTACCTGAGGCCCACAGTGATGTCCCAGCTCAAGTGACCCCAGCCACACAGGCAGCATGGGAGTCAGAGTCAGGTCCCTTGTGAGCACCGTTATGCCATTGCGAGCAAAAAGTAGAGCCTCACCTGATGGTAACCATTGTAGTCCATGTTGCCTGGGATGGGGAACCCTGGAGCCAGAAACAGCTCTCCTTCTAACATTTCTGGTTTAATGAATTCCTCCAGATAGGCTTTGCAGAGTCTCCTGTCCCAGTCATCTGTGATATGACCTCCGTACATGATCTCGCCAAACAGGTAGCGCAAATCATCATAGGGGACCTGAGAGATGGGGAAGAAAGAAAGAAAGACCTCCACCCTGGGGCTGGGGCTGGCCTGACTGTGTGGGCAGAGCATAAGCCACAAGATGGGATGCTTCTTGGGTTAAGGGGAAATGCCTTATTTATCTTTGCACCCCTAGCCTCCAGCAGAGTGAGACATGTTTTGGGATCTCGCTAAATGCTTGAAGAATCTCATCAAAGGGCAAGGAGGGGCAAGGTGCCAACCCCCCACAAAGATAGATGCCTTCCCTCTTTCATGATCATTCACTGTGACAACGAAGTCAGGTCCTACCTAGAAGTCCTTTCAATAAGCGAATGTCAGATGAAGAGAAGTGAAAGTTCAGAGTGAATGAAATACAACACACCAGTTCACTGGTGTGAAAGTTAGGGAGAAAACCACTTGGGGAAAGCCAGCAAATAAAGGCATGGTGTTGTGAGGGGTAGGCTTCCCAGGACCCAGGGGCTGCAGGCAGAAGGACATCTGGGCCTGATTCATTTTCCCCACCAGGAAGATGCCCTGCTGATGCTGTGTTTGGTCCGTGAACTAGAAGAGACTTAGTGGTGTGAATATTCCGTGAATTGGAAGAGCATCAATTGTTGGTGTAAGTTTTCTTTGAAATGGAGATATCAGACAGAGAGGAAGGAGACAGGGTGTACCAAGAACTTGGCTGCTTCTTCAACTTCAACTTTGGAAAGATCATACCTATGTGAGGAGCTGTGTGCCTCAAAAGAGGTTCTGCATTGCTGGCTAATTAAATTGGGAAGTTGCATTGGGTGAGTGTGGGGTCTCTTCCACCAGTGCACAGCCCGCTTGCCATGCTGTGAGTACATGGGGGTGGCCTGATGGGCCCTGGCACAAACTCTCATGGGAATGATGCGCACAGGGGTGACCCTAGTTTGCTTCCCTGAGCTTCCTTGGTTCTGATCTCATCATGGTACTGTTCTCAGCCTCAGGCTGGAGTCAGGGTTGGCACTTCCTTATCCCACACGTGTAAGGTTTAGACCCTCCCTGGTTTTCACTCCCCTCTTCCTCATGGGAATGATGCGCACAGGGGTGACCCTAGTTTGCTTCCCTGAGCTTCCTTGGTTCTGATCTCATCATGGTACTGTTCTCAGCCTCAGGCTGGAGTCAGAGTTGGCACTTCCTTATCCCACACGTGTAAGGTTTAGACCCTCCCTGGTTTTCACTCCCCTCTTCCGTGTGCACGCCATCCACCTTGTGAGAGGTGGCTGTCCTGACATACACCCGCAGTGGCTGGTCCCTGAATGTGTTTCCTTTACCTTTGTGTTAGCCTCCAGGAAGTTGTAGAGCACGTTCACGGAGATGGTGAGGTCCCCAGTGTTAAAGGGGTACGACCGATTCCATCCCTGGGGCCCAAACTTCCGTCTTTCTGCCACCACCGCGTGAAAATAACAAAGAGCAAAGAGGATGCTCTTGAACTCCGTCTCCCGGGAACACATCTCCAGAGTGTCCTGAAAGGAAAGCATCACTTCTGATGTTGACACAGAGCTTCCCTCCCACAGGGCACACTAAGGTGGGGTTACAATTGGGGTTCACATTGGATAAAGTTATCGCACGTCCTGGTTGCAGTTTGAGCCACAGAGAGACTATAGCTGTGCATGGGCTCAGGGCTTGAGGGGAACTTGCAGAGGGGGTGGGTTTTAGTTTAGAATTTGAGATTCAGGTTATAATGGGGTTTGGTTTATGGTTAAAGTTTGTGCATGTGGACATGCTAATTAGGTCTCTTAGCATAGCTAATGGAAAACAGGGTACTGGGCCACAGGAAGGCTGTGTTTGTTATATTAATGTCACTGTGCATGGGAGTGTGGGTGGTGACTCCCACAGATCATCTCTAATATCTTTTCTTCCTGCCGTGCTTTTCTTGCCTGTCATGGAACCTTAGCAGGTGTAATTACTGCCTACGTGACTAAGTAATCCTAGGCTCCTCTGCTGGGCGAGCTGCCGAAATGAGGGGGAGGGTAGGAGCCAGAGCCACAGAAACGGGGGAGCACTGTGCCCTTCACCATCCCCACTGCTCCACCTGAGCTGATCAGGGGTGACAGGCATGAGGCCGAGAAACAAGAGTGCCAGCAGTCCTGGCTGCAGAGCAGGAGGCAGGAGAAGATGGGGCTCAGGAAGACGGGAAGAGAGGAGACACATGGAAGAGAAGAGAAGCCAGAGATGGCGATGGAGCTGTGCTTGGTGAATTTTAAGGGGGATGGCAGTAATGGTGGAGAGAGGGAAAGCCTGCATTTTGAATCGACGGTAGGAAGGAACCCCTGGATTCTTTGGCGAGAAGAGAAGCCAGAGATGGCGATGGAGCTGTGCTTGGTGAATTTTAAGGGGGATGGCAGTGATGGTGGAGAGAGGGAAAGCCTGCATTTTGAATCGACGGTAGGAAGGAACCCCTGGATTCTTTGGTGTTAAAAGTAATCTCCTCTGAGTGGAATTCTCTCTGTTCAGGAAGGAGCAAGATGTTGCAGGTGGAGCTCCAAGAGGCACTTTCAAAGCTCACACAAATTGAATTAGGTTCTGTCCTAGCATTTCTTCTAGGAATTGGCCTTAGACATTGCTCACATGGGCAGGAGCAGCAGAGGAGACAGGACCGAGTAATTTTCTGGTGTGTCTGATTTTTCCATGAAGATGCCGTGACACAGTCTCTGTCTCTCCCTGTATATGTGGGGTCCCTGCGGAGCCTTTGTTGGGTACCATGATTGCCACAATGCATGGATGTGAAAGGTGAGAGGTGGTGCAGAGGATAGGGCCATTGCCTTGTGCAAGCAAGAATTTAATAACTGCTTTCTGTATAAAGCTGCTCTCTGCAGACATGCAGAGTGCTTCATTCGTTGCTTCTTACACATTTGAGAAAATTAGGTCTTGCTGAAAAATGCCTCTAAGCACAAAGACAAGAAATCACACGTTAAAATGCTACAATTGGCTGACGGTGGAACACTCAAAAGTCAGAATAAAATAATCATCCCCAAACAGCACAGCTATCAGGAAGTAGGGATAAAAAGAGCTCAGTTCCTGTATTTATCCCTTAAGTGGTTCAAACGGGGCTCTGAAGGAACAAAGGGAATGTCATACAGGCCTCTGTGCCAGGGCTCTGGTGAGAGCAGAATGGAGTAATTAAAGCTCCTGTGCACAAGGGATCTACTCATAAGTCTATCTCTCTTTCTTAGAATGAGATACTGAAGGTACCATAACTGGCAAAAAAACCCCAACTGTGGTAGGAACAGAATAACTAGGAAAAGTCAGCATCTCTTGGGATGTATTTCCCAGTTGCCCAGTGACCAAGATTGGACATCAGGTTTGCAGAGAGATAAGCCCAAGAGACAGCCCATCGGGAAGTCTGAGAGGATGAAGCCGGGTGTGGCTGGAGATGACAGTGATCCTACCGAGCCTTTATATTAATTATTAGAAGACATAGCGTGTGGGGCATCTGCTGCCCACTTCCTGATTCTGCCGAAGACCCTCAAGGCAGAGGAGTTGAGAATGTCCGCCACCAGAGACTTCAATAGAACTAGCTAACCGCATCCCAATGCCTCACCCTCCAGCTTTTAATTTTTAAAAAGTTTGTAAAATACACAAAACATAAAATTGACCATCTTCACTATTGTGTGTGTGTGTGTGTGTGTGTGTGTTTTGGCAGCTGGCCAGTACAGGAATCTGAACCCTTGACCTTGATGTTACCAGCACCGCACGCTGACCTAGTGAACTAACTGGCCAGCCCTTCACCACTTTTAAGTGTATAGTTCAGTGACATTATATGCACTCACATTGTCATGCAACCGAATGCCTTTAAAGGGCAGAAATCTCTGCTTGGAACCGGCTACAGACTCCTGTGAAAAAAAAGGCTGTAGATTTAAAACTTAAGAATGTTCATTTCCCCTACTTAGAATATAAAATCTAGAAAATTTAGAGGTTTTGATACTCTAATACATAGTATCTAAGAGTTTCGTTAAGGCCTATTTGGAAAAAAATAAAAGAAAGAAAAGAAGATGCCTTTGGACAAAAGAGCACCCCACCTTCTGCCCCACATTGCAGTGGACAGGAGATCTCTTAAAACTTCAAGCCAAAACATCCTGAATCTCCTGGTAATGTTCCCCTATTCTCTGTTGCAGATGATGTGTGGGTTTGGGAGTTGCACTGGGAAGGGGAGTGAAAAAGGAGACTAGACAAAATTTGTTTTTCAAATCTTGGTGGAAGCTTCCCTCTCCAAGTTGGTCTGCATGACTCCTATGCTGCGAGAGTATCATGCACTCAGTAAGATCTTCTGAGGCTCTGACCACAATGAAGTCTTCATTTTAAGTTAAACTTAAATTTCTAACTAGCCAAAAGGCCAGTGGTAGTGCTGGTTTACATCAGGCTAGCTGGCACAGTTGTCTGGTTGGACAGCCCATCTCAAGTTATGGATGGCCCATCTGGGACTTGTGAGTTTTAGCATGGCTTCTGTGAAACCACAGACCCACTGGTTGGGTCTATTGCAAGATGACCTCAGAGGGGAAAACTTCCCTAACAACAGCTAGAACCCTCTCCTTGGATTCCACTAAGGCCCAGAGTGGTGGATGAACTTTAAGGTGACCCTTGCCCCTACCCTCCTTGGTGTCCTCCCTTTCCCCGCAAGGTGGAATTCCCAAGGGAGAGGCAACAAGAATGGTGCCTTCCTGAGAAGATGAAAGAAGCCTGAGCTGCAGACTTTGCTGGTGCAATTTTGGAGTGGTGGATGAACTTTAAGGTGACCCTTGCCCCTACCCTCCTTGGTGTCCTCCCTTTCCCAGCAAGGTGGAATTCCCAAGGGAGAGGCAACAAGAATGGTGCCTTCCTGAGAAGATGAAAGAAGCCTGAGCTGCAGACTTTGCTGGTGCAATTTTACATGTGGAGCTGGCCACCATGGGCCTGGACTTGGCTTTAAATCAACACTACAACATGAGTCTTGGAATTCCAACAAGGGAAGTGCCAGTAATGTTGTGGCCTGCATTGGATCCTTATGCCTTGATAATCTGGCTCTCTATGGAGCACAGTGTTCTCAAACTTGACTGTGCATGAGAATCACCTGGAGGAGTCCTTAAAACATAGAATCCCAGGCCCTACCCCAGAGTTTCTGATTCGCCAAGTCTAGGGTGGGGCCTGAGAATTTGGATTTCTAACAAGTTCCCAGGTGATGCTGATGCTGCTGGTTGGGAGTCGCATTTTAAGAGTCTAACATGCAGTGACATCCCAATTCCAATTGTCCACTACCTGACATCTGGATTATGTGAACCCTGATACTTAAGTTGCATGCTGATGTCAAGTGATATTATCTGATCAAAAGTGTCATTTCTCTGCTTGAAGATAACATGCTTAGCCAATAAGTGTGTGACTCAGTACCTCATGTAAATGAGATTTATTGCAACATGCCCATTTCCATCTTGGAATATTCGTTAACAGCGGACTCTCAGAAATCTCCCCACCCCTCTTGCTAAAGAAAGGCCCTTAGCTTGACTCCTCCAGATATATCTGGCAATGAAGAGCTGGGGTGTGCTGAGTGGATTCTGTGGGGAGCTCAGTCGCAAAGGGAACACATTTCGCTCACATTGGCCCTGCTGCTTGTAGCCCAGCCGGCACCCCGCCCTGCCCCCAGTTGCATATGCTTCTCCCACCTGGTTTGAATCAGCTCTTTGTGAGATGGGTGCTCTTCTTCTCTCCCTCCCAGGGCAGTACCTGAGTGAAGTTGTCCAGGGCCTTGTGCAGGTTGGCATGCATGCCCGTGGGGGACTCATTGGTGATCTTAATGGAGTTCTCCAGGATGCCCTGGGGGATGATGTGGCTCTCTGGGGAGGGCGCTGGCTCTGCACTGATGAAGACCCTGAACTCTGGGTGGCTATTCTCACTGTGCTCCTCCAGCTTCTTCTCCAGGGTGCTGAGCCACTTGGCCACCAGGTGGATGTTCTGGTGGGAAGAAAGAACCCCCAATGAAGGCATCTGATTAGCTCTGTTAGCAATAAACAGTTATCAGAAAGGCAGCCTTCTCCAGGGTGCTGAGCCACTTGGCCACCAGGTGGATGTTCTGGTGGGAAGAAAGAACCCTCAATGAAGGCATCTGATTAGCTCTGTTAGCAATAAACAGTTATCAGAAAGGCAGGTAGAAGGGGGACCTCAGCTTAATGTCAAATAATTTTTAAAAACTGTGGTAAAATAGACATCACATAAAATTTACCATCTCAATCTAGCTGGTTAGCTTGGTTGGTTAGAGTGTGGTGCTGATAGCACAAAGTCCAGGGTTTGATCCCTGCACTGGCGAGCCACAAAAAGAAACAAAAAAAAAATTTCATTTCAACCATTTTAAGTGTACAGTTCAGTGACATTACATGCATTCACATTATTGTGCAATCCAATGCCTTTTAATGGCAGAAATGTCTTAAATCACACTGTAGCAAGAGTGTTGGGACTCCCACTAATGGGGACCTCTTTGTATCCTGTGACTGAACCTTATGCCATGATATGTACAGTGTTCTCAAATTTACTGTGCCTGAGAATCACGTGGAGGGCTTGTTAAAACACAGATTCCAGAGTCCCACCTCAAAGTTCCTGATTCAGAGTGAATCTAGAGAATCTAGAGTGAAGCCTGAGAATGTGCATTTCTAACAAGTTCCCAGGTGATGCCAGTGCTGCTGGCCCAGCAGCACTTTAAGAGTCTAACACGTGGTTACATTCCCAGTTCAATTCCCCACTACCTAACACCTGGATTATTTAAACCCTTGATAGTCAAAAGTGGGGCCCATGGACCAGCACTGTGGGCATTATCTGGGAGCTAGTTAGAAATGCAGAATCTTAGGCCCCACCCAGATTTGCTGAATCAGCACATTTAAATGAGATCCTTCAGTAATTCGTATGCATGTTAAAATCTTAAAAGCACTGATTTAAACTCCTTCTAACTAACTTTCCTGAGTCGTCTCTCCTCTCCAAACCATTCTGCTAATTGTTGCAAACTTATCTTCCTAAAACACACTGAATTATCGCTGCTCCAAGGCTGATAAAAGCTCTCTACTTCCATCACAAGCTCCTCTCTCTTTGCCCCCAATTTGATTCCTATCTGTCTGTCTGTCTACCTATCGAAACCTACAAACATTTCTTAGCATTACTTTGCAGGATGCATCTTTCACTTTGCAGAGAGCATAGTCACTAGGCTGTACTGCAGTTTCATTGTGATGGAGAGATAAAATCTCCTCAATAAATATTTGAGGAAGTAGGCATGAAGAGCCTTAAATACACAGATCAGCACTGAGCACTCTACTTGGACCACAGTAGTTTGGTCTCTGAGTACTGTTTTCTCTTCTATAAAAAGAGAAATAATAATGTTTGTCATACTTATTTTACAGAGTTGCTGCAAATAACCAAAGGTAATGGATTTGAAACGGCTTTATATTCTCTAAAACGCTATGTAAGAGTTAGTAGTGATTGCTGAAATGAAAATGTGTTAAACTAAAGAATTCATTTGTAATCACTCTATTGGAGCAGAGAGTTTAGTGGGCTACCTGGAGAGCTGGGGTTCTTGTTAGCTGGCAGTGCCAGCAACCCATGAGTGAGTAATTTGGCTGCTTCTTCAGGGACTCCAATTTCTGCTACTGGGCAAAGCAGGGCTGGAAGAAAGACCTCTGTTGTTTGGGGATAGAAACCTGGGGTGGATTCAGTGATCCCTGAGGCTGCCCTGCTGGGTTTATGGGCCTGGGAAACCCACCCCACTGCCACTACAGACAGGAAGGAAGAGGGGACAGAGTCCGAGCCTTTGTTCTCTCGCCCAGGTCCTTAGAAGCTGGTTCTCCCAGGGAAGGGAAGAATCCCTGGCTCCTCTGGGATAGGGTCCTTGAGCAGAATTTCCCCAAAGTGTGCCAACGGATGTTAAAAGATGTTAGATCCACAAAGAGGGTCTGTGCTCAACTAACCTAGGGAAACACTGAATTCTATTCCATAGGTTTCTCAGAACATGAACCTACTGATATCATTGAAACTCTTTTTGAAAGGGATATTGTATGCTGTATTTTCCAAATTTTGAGAGAGGAACTTGTTAACTGTTTTTCCTTTCTTTTCAGAGACTCTCTCAGGTTCATAAGCTGGGAAACACTGTCCTGCAAGACCCCGGTCTAGTCTAGTTCAATATGTCAGCGAATTCTTGGAACCAGAGAAGCTATGATTCCTAGGAGCCATATCAAACCAGCAGAGATCTGGTCAGCACTTTACAGTTTGGATAGCTTATGTCTATTCAGCACTCAAATGCTTCATTCAGTGGGAGAAGGCAGGCATCCAAATTGTTTGTATTCATGGGGAGAAATAATTTTCTTTGGAAATGCCCAGTCTCCAGGGATTAAAGAGGGAGTTCTGAGTTCAGCATTTGTGAGCTCCTGGAAACCACACCAGCATAAGATGTGGGGGTCCTGAGGAGACAGTACGTGCTGGGGGAGGAGACACTCTGCTCGTCCTCTGAGTGGGCTCGTAGGAGGCAGCACCACAGCCTCAGAAACAGACCCTGCCCTCTGTGCTGAGTGGTTGGGCTCCTGAAGGCACTAGTGCCCAGAAGGGGGTCTCTTGGCAAATATGCCTGGCATGGATGGGGCGGTCACACCTCCCAGGACTGTACTGATCCAAGTGGGAGGAGGCAGGGACTCCAGCTGTTGTCTTTTCTCCTGAAATTCCTACTGTTTTTGCAAAGGGATTCCCAGGGAACAGCAGAACTCTCAGTTGCTAAGCTTGGAATAAATAACAGGATAATTAAGTATGAAGACCCAGCAGCAAGATGAGGGGCAGTGAGTAGTCAGGAGATAGGGGAAGTGGTTGGGAGTGAAACCCAGGATGGGATCGAAGTGACTGGCTTTATCTTCATAGATTCTTTCAGCCTCTACTATGTTCAAGGCAGTGGGCTGGGTGATAGGAGGTAAACAAGAAGCACCTCTTTCCCTGAGGAAATTTATGAAGGACACAGTCATGTGATGAATCACGTCAGCGTGGCAGTGGATGACCTCACAGAAGTGACTATAGAGTGTCACAGGAGAGAAGAGGAGGAAGCCGCTCATTCTGTCCCTTCCCCAGCATCCATACAAGCTGCATAAAATACGATTAAGAGGACAGACCATGAAAAAAGACAGGTAGCCTCCTTTTCCTTGTAACTGTTTGGTGAAATTACTAGTAGTAGGTGTTCCAGATTTCCAAACACCAACATGAAATCTCAATGAAGAGGCTAAGTTTGCTCCCACCTTCTAGAACACATGCAACAAAGAATAGGTAACACATAACACAATGGATGAAATGCACAGGGAGAGACCAGCCCCAGCAGTCAACTTCCTGGACACGCATCACAGTGGGAATCCACTTGCCTTTGTAAGCAGAGCAATTTAGACTGGAGAGAGTGGCAGAGCAGGCAAGGGAGAGACGAGCTCTTGGAGTTGGCACAGGGACGAGAACGTGAGAGTGAGGGGACCTGGAGAGAGAGAAGATTAGCAGTGAAGGGGACAAGGGCGTGCAGAGATGTGGGTGGGAGGGCAAGAGCGGACAGAGAAGCTCGGAGGTTGTGGGACGGGAGGAGGCCCAAGCAGATATGGGATCAAAAGTACCTGGATCAGGGCAGGGGCCATACCTGCAAAATAACCCAGTGACCTTTCTTGGCAGCGAGGTCCAGCGCAGCCTCAGCCACTACCTCCTGTCCCTGCCCCAAAGACACGTTGTGAAAGTTCCGATTGTTGAAGGTATATCCAAGTTTTTTTCCTAAAAGGAGTATGGAGTTGTCATGGTTATTTTTTGTGTCTAATGATCCATGTTGCTTAATGTTCATAAGGAAACGCCCACCCCCACATTACCCCTCGGACACAGGTGCACCTGAACCCAAGCCTCAGATACTGACCCTTTTCTTTCACGGGGCGGGGGCTACTTCTTCCAGGTTTTTGCTGCCCAGTAGCAGGCCCTTGTTCAGACCAAAGTCTCTTCACCCTTCCCTGTGCACTCACTCCCCAAAAATGGGTAGGATGCTGGCACCCTTCTTGAAGGGAGGACATTGCTTCATGTCTGGAGAATGCTGACGTGAAAAGGGTCAAAGAGGAAGAAGCATGTGGGCGTGGTTCCTTCTGGTTTGCTTTGTCCTCTGAAGAGATTCTGTGTCCCCCCTGGAACTTCTTGGCAGGTGTGTCCAGTAGAGGCAGGATGTAGGCAGTTCTGGTTCCCTCGCCATATTAACCTCTCCCCTTATTGTTCACAATGCATAGAAAAGTTTTATCTCTTCATTTTGCATGACTTAGAATGAAGGGGGCAAGGGGCAAGACAAGAGTGGGCTTGCTGTATAGGTGTGGATGTTCCTTTGCATGTATTTTGACAAGGGTTATTCATGTTGGGAATGACCACACACACACACACACAAACATCCCAACCATACCACTAAAGCCAGGCCAATGCTCACAAGCTGTTCTCCAAGCCCGAGAAAACTTAACACAAAGCAATGACCTCAATATAGAGGAGCACATCTGCTCGATACTAGCTATTAGCCCAATCCAATAAAGTTTAGAGAAATTATGTAACATTCTTTAGATAAAAAGATCACAAAAATGTGTAATACCATGAAGGAATCGTTGAGCAACTTTTCTAGGAAGGTGAAGAGGAGAAATTCAAAAAGAGAAAAAGAAGAAAAATATGTACTTAAAAAATTTAGTTTCAGAGGAACTAAAATTGAAGATATAATTTTACACTAGTGCAAGAACATTTTTGGAAAAAACTGCTAATATAGGATATTTCTTTTATGTACTAAAAACTGTATAGACTCTCCTTCAAATGTATGACAAAGCAAGATGACGACTTAGTGAGAAATAGTTATTATAGATTCAACTGAGATGAGCCCAAGAAACACCTTTATTAAACTCTATAAATCCTCCCTAGCAATAAATTTGATGTCAGCTTTAGAAGTGAGGAGATAAACAACTTATTTCAGAGAAAATACTAGGATAAAAGGTGCTGGGATTATTAGCTGGCTTCTGTGACGTTTCTGCTCCACAAAAGAATCTATTCATTTTCTTTATTAGCAAGAGAAGGATATGGGGAAAGAAGTACTTAATAAAGATTAGTTTGGAAACCACAGGCTGGAAGGATCGTCAGGGGCAAAGCCTAGCACTGGGGAGACTGGTTAGGGTCAGTCTGCACTCACCTAGGCTTGAGGCGTGATGATGAGGCTGGGAAGAAAGAAATGGACTTGGAAATGTGGAGAAGGGGAAAAACTGATGGGATGCTCGCTGACTGGACAGTCCACCGGTGATGGTTACATCACATGTGAGCCTCATGGTATGCCGAGGGGACATTGTGAGCCCTTCCATTTGCAACTTTGAGGCTCTCAAGACGCCTTGCTGGGTCACGAGCAAGCCCCTCTTAGCAGCTGTGTTCTCTTGGGGTTCACCTTCACGTTGTTTTATGCGATGGCTTCCATACACACACCTCCACTGCCTGTGACACATCTTTCTCTTCTGACCTTCCTTTGACTCTCCATATGGTGGTGTCACCTGGACCAAGCCCCATCGTAAACCTATTTTAAAATTTCACAGTGTGCTTCACCTACCTCCAGTGTCTCTGAGGACACTGCAATTCCTATGGCCCTGTCCCTGGTTTCATACACCTATGGGGCTCGGAGGAAAGGGCATGTTTTTCTAGTGTTCTCTTGCTACTTTCAGGCTATCTCTTTTCCACCCTCCTATAAAAACCCTTCTTCCTTTAGAACACATGCCATTTGGCTATATTGTCTGATAACTTTTATGTTCTCTGTCTTCTACCAACTTCTTAGTGGGACTCACTTTTATTAGGGGCTTTGGAACTTGGCTCCTCTCTCATCATTATCCTGGTAAACTTTAATGCCACTATGGCTGACCCAGCCAATATCCAGGCTCATGCTTCTTTCTCATCTTCAGAAAACTTAAGTCTATTCCATTTCTGCTACTCACCCCCAATGGCTGCACCCAGGACTTTATCATCCTGAGAACTGTACCACCTCTGAGACATTATTCTTTCAAATTCACTCCTGACAATCACTTCCTCCTTCCCAGACTGCTCACTCTCTTACTCCCTCCCCACCTATTATTCTGTCTCAGGGAAATATCCAGTCCTTTGGATCTATTTTTCCTAATCTTCACCTTTACCCCCCCCCATTTTAATATGGACCCAATAATCCTTACTTTGAATCATGATCTTACAAAATCCTCAACTCCATTGCCTCCTTCTACTTCTGCATTACCTAACTTGGAAAAAGCTCACTCTGGATGAGTTTAAGCATTAATCAAAAAGAAAATTAATACATTTGGTGAACTGGCACCACCACAAGCTCATGATTTTCAACCTCGATGCTGTTTGGGATTCTTGCCACATGTCCAGGAGTTGGCAACTTTACTTGTACCCCTCTGTCTTTAAACCTCCTAATGAACCCCACTCTTCTCATGCTCAGCCATTTGCTTCATCCTCTACTTCCCCGAGAAAACACATGCCATCTGGTAGACGGCAACTTTACTTGTACCCCTCTGTCTTTAAACCTCCTAATGAACCCCACTCTTCTCATGCTTAGCCATTTGCTTCATCCTCTACTTCCCCGAGAAAACACATGCCATCTGGTAGACGCTCCTTCAATTTACTGCCATTTTATCTGCCTCTCCGCACATCCCCCACTCAGTGGAAGGCGTATCTCCCGCTGCCCATTGCTCTATCCATTCTCTAAATCCCAATCTCTTTTTGCATCTTCATCCTTCATCTCTCTGTTCACTCTTCTGCTTCCTGGTACCTGAACAAATGAGTTTTTCTCATCACAGACACAGAAAAACTACTCAGTTAATCTTGAGGCCACTCTCCAGATGCTGTACGTGTCCTAGCCTACCCAACTTTTAATTGCTTCTTAAAGAAAAGAGGACGGGGCCAGGAACAGTAAAAAAGAGACTTGAAGCAAAGTGTGGATGATCTGGCTGTAAAGACACTGAATTTAAAACTGTTTCTTTGAGCATATCTGTTAGCAGGCTTGCAAAAATCTAAGTGAGCTCATGGTTCTGACCAAAACTGGAAAGAGAAAAAGAAGCAGAGAAAGCACAGGTGAGATACACAGTTTCTTTCTGATCACAAACTGGAAAAAATAGAATTCATTTAGTCAAAGCCAGGTAATTGGGCAAAGGAGGATGGAGACCAAGCAAGATCACGCTACAGACAAGTGAAAGCAAGACTGGAGAAGATGCCCGTGTAAGGGCAAAAAGGGGAGGGCCAAAGACGAAGCTGTTCTTTGAAAAGGTGTTACAAAAAGATGTAAAGGAAGGAGCAAACCGGGCCGCTCCAAAGATCAGACAAAGCATCATCATTATAATGCTGTACAATGCTGCTGTGCTTTTAACTTTTCAAAGACTTTTCACATCTGAGATTTCATTTTATCTTCACAGTAACCTGAGGAGGCAGGTATCAGGGGTGATTAAGAATTTTCCAAGAGCAATTTTAATTGAAAACAGGGGAGAAGGGCCGATCCCGTGGCTCACTCGGGAGAGTGCAGTGCTGGGAGTGCAGCGATGCTCCCGCCGTGGGTTCGGATCCTATATAGGAAGGGCTGGTTTGCTCACTGGCTGAGCGCGGTGTGGGCGACACCAAGCCAAGGGTTGCGATCCCCTTACAGGTCACGAAAAAGACAAAAAAAAAAAAAAGAAAAGAAAA